TTATTAAGATAATTGATTCAAAATCGAAATTGAAACAAATTTTATTTAAAACATTTTTTGATAAAAACAATAATTATTGAGATAATTAATTTTGATAGCATACTATTCAGAGGGAAATTAAAATTTCAAGTTAGCAAAAAATTGTATTAACAAACACTGTTCCTGAAGTAATTCTAAATAAATTTTGTTAACAACATTTTTTGATTAAATCAACAATAAGGATATAATCTCAAAAAAAATTTTTATATATATATTTTTGTATGAAATTTTCTGCTGAGAACGAGTGGAGGGGGGAAATCGTATCGTTTTGTATATTAGATATCATGTTGTATATTTTTATTGCACTAAAACCTTTGATTATATATAATATGGCTTGAGCTAACTGAATATATCTACTAACAAAAATGTGGCTCAAGGTGAATAGACGCAGATGGAAAGCGATAATGTGAAAGTGTAACAAAGATAGACATAAAACGGTACTAAACAGACGGCGCATGCGCACAAAAGTGTCAAACCTCTTCCATTTGACGTTTATCGTTTTGTTGTGTCGCAGCCAGTCACACCGTTATGTTTAAAAATGTATTGTTTCGTGTGCAAAGTTCGCGATAATACAGTTTCACATCACCTGTAAGTATTATAAATGTTACTTCTAATTGATAGTTTTTTATCTTATAAATTAACGCACGCCCATTATATGTCAGTACGCTTCTATGTCTATCTCGGTTCGATCACCTTGCGCAAGCTATCTCTCTCGTTGGCTCAATCCATATTATATATAATCAAAGACTAAAACTATAACTAACACTAGACTTAGAACTAGAAACATTCGGGTTTAGCCGTCTTTAGAGACGCACTGCGTTCTATATCTAGTGTTCGGAATTCGAGGTACTTGACGATCTCGGATATCTAGATTCATGTTATTAGACTACTAAAATTTTACGTCATCGTAAAGAGAAAACAAATCTATCAAATGAGCTTAACGAAAGGATACATTGCCATTTAAAAAACTTCAAGTATTATTCCTTGCTCATTTATTTTCTGAAATAAAAACAATTGAATGCCTTATTATGGCAAACAAAATATTAAACAACTTTTGTATAAATTGTTTTTTTATAAAGTTGATATTTACCAAGATATATCCATACATAATGGACACCTGTATATTATATTATACTTTTCCTCCAATGACGTCACGTTTCCTTCCTTACCCCGTCAACGTCAATTTGTTCGAGTTGGATAACTTTATAACCAATACTCAATGGACCTTGCCTAGATGATCAAAATACCGCGGCTTGCCGCCATTTTGGTTTGAAAGTCAAGCGGGAAATTTAAAACTAACATCGATCTGTCAAATTAAAATGTCAAATTGAAATGTCAGATTGATATAACCTAAAAATTAAAATTATAAACAATTAAAAAGGATCCGTTTGCACAAAAAATGAACAGGATTGTTAAATTTATTAAATAATTATTTTTTTTTAGGTTATACAAAGTTTTGCGGAAACTGGTCAATTTCAAAAAATCGTTCTTTACGCCAAAAAAGTATCTTACACCCCCGACTACATCTATTTACTCCGTTCAGTGATGCGCACCAACCCAGATCAAGGCGCAATTTTCGCAACAATGCTTGTAGCAGACGAAGAACCTCTCGCCGATATAAACCAAATCGTCGATATCTTTATGGAACAAAACATGGTTCAACAATGCACTTCATTCTTGTTGGACGCGTTAAAAAATAATCGCCCGGAAGAGGGACACCTCCAAACCCGATTAATCGAGATGAATTTAATGAGCGCCCCACAAGTAGCAGACGCAATTTTGAGTAATAACATGTTTACTCACTATGATAGACCTCACGTAGCGCAATTATGCGAAAAAGCGGGGTTGTTACAAAGAGCCCTCGAACATTACACCGATTTATACGATATAAAGCGAGCTGTGGTGCACACCCCTTTATTACCAGCTGATTGGTTGGTGAGTTTCTTTGGCACATTGAGTGTTGAGGATAGTTTGGAATGTTTAAAAGCGATGTTAACGGCTAATATTCGCCAAAATTTGCAAATTTGCGTCCAAATCGCCACGAAATACCACGAACAACTAACCACGAAAAGTTTAATCGATTTATTTGAAAGTTTTAAAAGTTACGAGGGGTTATTTTATTTCCTCGGCTCCATCGTTAATTTTAGCCAAGACCAAGAGGTCCATTTCAAATACATCCAAGCCGCGTGTAAAACCGGCCAAATCAAAGAAGTCGAAAGAATCTGCCGCGAAAGTAATTGCTACAACCCCGAGAGGGTTAAAAATTTCTTAAAGGAAGCCAAATTAACCGATCAACTCCCGCTAATCATCGTTTGCGACCGATTCGATTTCGTCCACGATTTAGTTTTGTACCTATATCGAAACTCTTTGCAAAAATACATCGAAATTTACGTGCAAAAAGTAAATCCGAGTCGACTTCCCGTCGTCGTTGGCGGTTTATTAGACGTCGATTGTTCCGAGGATATAATTAAAAACCTTATTATGGTGGTTCGGGGTCAATTTTCAACCGACGAATTAGTCGAGGAAGTCGAAAAAAGGAACCGCCTCAAATTGTTATTACCCTGGCTCGAAAGTAGAGTCCACGAAGGTTGTGTTGAACCCGCAACTCACAACGCCCTCGCTAAAATCTATATCGACACAAACAACAACGCCGAACGATTCTTAAAAGAGAACCAATGGTATGATTCGAGAGTCGTGGGGAGATATTGCGAAAAAAGAGATCCTCATTTAGCATGTGTCGCTTATGAACGGGGAAAATGTGATCGGGAATTAATCGCGGTTTGTAACGAAAATTCGCTTTTTAAATCTGAAGCTCGTTATTTGGTGCGTAGTCAAGACGCGGATCTTTGGGGCGAAGTTCTAAGCGAAGATAACCCATACAGACGCCAATTAATCGATCAAGTCGTTCAAACCGCTTTAAACGAAACCCAAAATCCCGAGGATATATCAGTAACCGTTAAAGCATTTATGACTGCCGATTTACCAAACGAATTAATCGAGTTATTAGAAAAAATTGTTTTGGAAAATTCGATTTTCTGCGATCACCGTAACTTGCAGAATTTGTTAATTTTAACCGCGATTAAAGCGGATCCAACTCGCGTTATGGACTATATTAATCGATTGGATAATTACGACGCGCCCGATATCGCCAATATAGCTATTAATTCGCATTTATACGAGGAAGCGTTCGCCCTCTACAAGAAATTTGATGTTAACACCTCCGCTATTCAAGTTTTAATCGAACAATTAAACAATTTAGACCGCGCTTACGAATTTGCGGAACGCTGTAACGAACCGGAAGTGTGGAGTCAACTGGCTAAAGCTCAATTAAATCAAGGATTAGTTAAAGAGGCCATTGATTCTTATATTAAAGCCGATGATCCCAGTGCTTATGTTGCGGTCGTTGAGACTGCTTCGAAAAATAATTCTTGGGAGGATTTGGTTCGGTAAGAAAAAAATTATTTAATTATTTTTTTATAAAAAATTCTTTTATTTAATTTTTTGACGTTAAAATTGACAAGATAGGCAACCAAATACACGTACCATAAATTTGTGTTGCCTATATGATTTTAAAAAAAATCTATTTTTTTAGATTAGTTTTCAAATAACTTCAAATGCCTCGTAAAAAAGCTCGCGAATCCTACATCGAGTCAGAATTATTTAAAAAATATTATTTTTAATTATTTTTTTTTATACAAAATTGTCTTAGGTTATTTTTGGCATTTAAATTGACAAGATAGGCAACCAAATACGCGTGCCATAAATTTGTGTTGCCTATCTGCATTAAAAAAAAAGTTTTTTTAAAATTAGTTAATAATTTTTTTTTGTTAAATAGATATATTCTAAGAAAATACATTTTTTATATAAAATTCTTTTCCGTTAGGTTTTGACGTTTAATTGAGAAGATAGGCAACCAAATACACGCAGCATAAATATGTGTTGCCTATCTTATTTAAAAAAAATATTTTTTGAAATTAGTTAATATTTTTTTATTACATAGATTTACAAATTTGTTGTTTTCCTGATTTTTAGTAACATTTTCAGTAACTAAATAGTTGAGGTTACAATACTAATACATTTTTCGATAAATACGATTTTAAGGCAGTACATATTTATTGTAAAAACGTGCTACAAACTAATGAAATAGAACAAAACACCTTTTCTAGGCAAACAAATGGCAAATAAACGCAAATTTCTTGCGTTCATTTTGTTTTAAAGCTCAAACAAACGTCAGTGTGACATATTTATTTCAAAACATGATAAAACAAAACTCCCTGGTAATTTTGGCAACTTTACAACAATTTAACAGGTATTATAGGAAAAAAGAACGAACCATAGGTTATTTTTTGACGATTAATTGAGAAGATAGGCAACCAAATACACGTAGCGTATATTTGTGTTGCCTATCTTATTAAAAGAAAATTTTATTTTTTTAAATTAGTTAATAATTTTTTTTGTTAAATAGATATATTGAAATGGATCGTAAAAAAGCTCGCGAATCCTACATCGAGTCAGAATTAATCTAAAAAAAAAATTATTTTTATTTATTTTCTTATACAAAATTCTTTTAGGTTATTTTTTGACATTTAATCATATATATACTATCTTCTATATCGCTGACTAAGGCAGCAAAAGAGTGTAAACACTAGAGTGCAGATATATATATATCTGTCTTTGTCGTACCCCCGTCGACTCAAGAGACATGTGTGAACACGTGATGAGTACGCTTTTATCTTATTGGACGGTGAATTAAAAATTAATAGCAGCTGATGACCTTGATGTTTATAAATCAACAAATAAATGTTTGACATAAACATAACCTAAAATCTAAATATTTAGTTATGTATATTATAGGTTTCATGTGTATAATAACATAATTATTAACATATTTTAGGACTAAGCAATTTAAAATGTAATTGTTATTTGTTAAGAAAGTGAAGCAAATGTGTTAAAAGTAAAATAAAAAAGAAAAAGAGTAGTGGAGATATTTTTGGGTCCTAAAAATTGGTTGAGCAGGTAGAAGGAAAGGTCTCAGTGTAATAAAAAAGAATTCAAAGTCCTCCTTTTCTTGAAACATTTTTCTTTATAAACATTTAGAGTACATATACTCTAATTTATTTGATGCATCAGTGATAATTTATAGTTAAAGTAAACCATCTATAATAATAATTGCATTTTAAAGCTGCATAAAATACGCGCGAAACACTTCAAACTCTTTAAAATTTACGATTCGCGCTAGCGCTTTCGCGACACGGGGGTACGACAAAGACAAAACATATATCATTCCGTCTTCTTTTGATGGAAACGCTCGCCACTCATTGCTTAGATAGGGAGTCAGCGATATAGAAGATAGTATATATATGCATTTAATTGACAGGATAGGCAACCAAATACACGTAGCGCAAATTTGTGTTGCCTATCTTACTAAAAAAAATTTTTTTAAATTATTAATTTTTTTTGTTAAATAGATATCTTCAAATGATTCGTAAAAAAGCTCGCGAATCCTTAATATTGACAATATATGTCAATCTTTCTTCACACACATTCAATAAAATTCTTTTAGGTTATTTTTTGATGTTTAAATTACTAAGATAGGCAACCAATTACACGTAACGTTAATTTGTGTTGCCTATCTCATACATTTTTTTTTTAATTATTAATTTTTATTTTTTTATTAAACAGATATCTTCAAATGGCACGTAAAAAAGCTCGCGAATCCTACATCGAATCAGAATTAATCTATTCCTACGCAAAAACCGGCCGATTAGCCGACTTAGAAGAATTTATAAGTGGCCCAAATCACGCCGACATCCAAAAAATCGGCGACCGTTGTTTCGATGATAAAATGTACGATGCCGCTAAGCTTTTATACAATAACGTTTCAAATTTCGCCCGTCTCGCAATCACTTTGGTACATTTAAAAGAATTTCAAGGTGCTGTTGATGGGGCTCGTAAAGCGAACAGTACCCGAACGTGGAAAGAAGTATGTTTTGCGTGTGTCGATGCAGAAGAATTCCGGTTGGCTCAAATGTGCGGGATGCACATTGTCGTGCACGCCGATGAATTGCAAGATTTGATTAATTATTATCAAGATCGAGGTTATTTCGAGGAGTTAATTTTGTTGTTGGAAGCGGCTTTAGGGTTGGAAAGGGCTCATATGGGAATGTTCACCGAGTTGGCTATTTTGTATTCGAAATATAAACCGGGGAAAATGAGGGAACATTTAGAACTGTTTTGGTCGAGAGTTAATATCCCTAAAGTGTTGAGAGCCGCCGAACAAGCTCATCTTTGGGCCGAATTAGTTTTCCTTTACGATAAATACGAAGAATACGACAACGCGGTCTTGGCGATGATGACCCATCCGACGGAAGCATGGCGCGAAGGCCACTTTAAAGATATTATTACTAAAGTTGCTAATATCGAACTTTATTATAAAGCTATTCAATTTTATTTGGATTATAAACCGTTGTTATTAAACGATATGTTGTTGGTTTTGGCCCCGAGAATGGACCATACGCGAGCCGTTACTTTTTTCACAAAAGCCGGACACCTACAATTGGTCAAATCTTATTTAAGAAGCGTTCAAAGCTTAAACAATAAGGCAATCAACGAAGCTTTGAATAGTTTATTAATCGAGGAGGAAGATTTCCAAGGATTACGAACGTCAATCGATGCTTTTGATAACTTTGACAACATCGGGTTAGCCCAAAATTTAGAAAAACACGAACTAACCGAATTTAGACGCATCGCCGCTTACCTTTACAAAGGAAATAATCGATGGAAACAAAGCGTTGAATTATGTAAAAAAGATAGGTGAGTACAAATTTATTTATTAAAAAAGTAGGGAATTTTTTTATTTGAAAGTTGCTTATCCGCGGTTGCCATAGTAATTTGTCAATAACGTCATCCATTTTGTGTAAAATTAATTTTTAGTTCATATTTTTATTATTATTAAGTAAGAAAGGTTTTTTTTTGTGTTGAATTGAAGTTTAAAAGTGTATTTTTGAGATAAAGTAAGTAAATGCATCAATTTTATGGGGAATAAATTGCAATAATAAGAAAAGTGAATCAATTGGAACGAAAAAATTAATCAGTTTAGGTTATTGATGATAAAAAGCTTTATAACAATAAGAAGTTAATACTTTTTATTAAGAATTAATTTAATATTTAAATAATTAATCAAAAACTAGGTTAGAAATTTTTTTTTATTTCAAAGTTACCAACATGCCGTTGCCATGGCAATTTCTCTACAAACTGTCATTTTTTAGAAAAAAATTGACGCGTGGTGAAAACGTTTAAACAATTTTAAGTTATTTTGCGAGTTTTTTTGCTTAATTGGAGCTTAAAGGTATGTTTTTATAGCAAATTTAATAAATTGACGATTTAATTAGTAATAAGTCCAAAAATTTTAGGACGTTGAAAGGTTAACCTAAAAATTGAAAATTGTTTTTATCTCAAATTAATACTAAAAGAATCGATTTTGAGGTAAACTTTAATTATATCTGAAGTAAATACGTCAAAACATCTATTTGTATTGATTAATAATCGGTTTTTGCTTCAAATAATTACTAACTTATGGTTACCATGGCAACTGCTCTACAAACTGTCATTGTCAAAAAAAATTTGACGCGTTATAGAAACGTTTAAAGATTTTCGGGTTATTTTGTGAGTTTACGAACTTTTTTTTTTACGTTTAATTGGAACTAAAAGGTATGTTTTTAAGGCAAGTTTAATAAATTGACGATTTAATTAGTAATAAGTCGAAAAAAGAATGAATTAGGACGTTGAAAAGTTAACCTAAAAATTTAAATTGGAGGAAATCTTATTTTTGAGATTTTTATCTTAAATTAATACTAAAAGAACCGATTTTGAGATAAACTTTAATTATATCTGAGGTAAATACGTCAAAACATCTATTTGTATTGATTAATAATCGAATTTTGGATCATATAATCACGAACATATGGTTGCCATGGCAACTGCTCTACAAACTGTCATTGTCAAAAAAAATTTGACGCGTTATGAGAATGTTTAAACATTTTCGGGTTATTTTGCGTGCTTAAGAATGTTTTTTACGTTTAATTGGAACTAAAATGTACGTTTTTAAGGCAAATTTAATAAATTGACGATTTAATTAGTAATAAGTCGATAAAAGAAGAAATTAGGACGTTACAAAGTTAACCTAAAAATTGAAATTCGGGAAAATCTTATTTTTGAGGTTTTTATCTCAAATTAATACTAAAAGAATCGATTTTGAGATAAACTTTAATTATATCTGAAGTAAATTCGTCAAAACATCAACTTGTATTGATTAATAATCGATTTTTGACCCAAATAGTACTAACGTATGGTTGCCATGGCAACTGCTCTACAAACTGTCATTTTTAGAAAAAATTTGACGCGTGGTGAAAACGTTTAAACATTTTTAAGTTATTTTGCGAGTCTTAGAACGTTTTTTTACGTTTAATTGGAGCTAAAAGGTATGTTTTTGAAGCTAATTTAGTAAATTAATGGTTTGATGACGAGATGAATAAGTTAAAAGAGGGGGTTAAAAAATTAACCTAAAACTTGAAGTTGAAGAGAATCTTTTTTTAATTAATTGGAATTAAGAAATGATTTATATATTAATAGTTATTAATGCTTTTTTATTAAAAAATTAATATTTTAATTAAATATTAATGTCAAAAACTTGAGTAAATTCTTTTTTATTTAAAAGTTACCAACATGCCGTTGCCATGGCAACTTCTCTACAAACTGTAATTTTTTGATAAAAATTTGTACGCGTCTTATTAAACAGTTAGTTTTCGGGTTATTTTGTGAGTTAAAAACGATTATTACGTTTAATTGAATCTAAAAGGTACGTTTTTTTAGGTTAATTGACTAAATTAGCGATTTTATTAGTGATAACTACAAATAAGAAGTTAACCTAAAAAATCCTTTAAAAAATCATTTATAATCAATATTTAGTCACAAAACGGTTTTTTTTTTATTATAAACACATTAATTATTGCATTTTTATTAAAAAAAAAGAAATTTTTTTAGTTAATTTGGTGTTTTTAGTAAATTTTTTTATTTAAAGGTTACCATCTTGCGTTACTATGTCAATTTTTCGCTAAAATTCGAAAAAAAGTTAGATAAGTTAAAAATAGTTTTATTTTGCATTTTGGGAATAAATTTAAATCATTTTTTCTTTTTTTTAATAGATTATTCCGAGATGCAATGGAATATACTGCAGAATCGCGTCAAGGTGAGCTCGCGGAAGAATTATTGGCTTGGTTTTTGGAACGTAAAGCATACGATTGTTTCTCGGCTTGTTTGTATCAATGTTACGATCTTCTCCGACCGGATGTTATCTTGGAGTTAGCGTGGCGCCACAATATCATGGATTTCGCCATGCCTTATTTAATACAAACAACGCGGGAGTTGACGTTGAAAGTGGAAAAGTTGGAACAATCGGAAACTAAAAGGGAAAGCGAAGCCGCCGAGGAAACGCACAAGCCCATGATGATGGCCGAGCCGCAATTAATGCTAACCGCAGGCCCCGGAATGGGTAAGTAAATGAGGATATTACGAAGTTATTTTTTAATTTTACTTTTTAAGGGATGCCACCACAACAATATGTACCACCCGTTCAAGGTTATGCCCCAACTAGTTATGCTCCGCAAATGCCCTATCAAGGTTATGGGATGTAATATGAGGTGGTGTCGATAGATGGAGTTGTACAACAATTTCGTTTGATTATTAAATAGCTAACTAAAAGAATATTTTAATTTTTTTCTGTTTATGAGGAAAAAATGTATATAAATATGATTATATAATCTACGTAATAAAAGATTAATGAACATGAAAAGTAAGGATAGAAAATTTGAACGAAAATAAAAAAAAACCCGTACTATTATTATTATTCTTATTAATAAAAAGAAGTAATTTTTTTCTTTACCGATAAATAAAACGCTTTAGTGTGTAAATAAACTATATAAATTTACAAAATAAAAATGAAGAGAGATTGAACCATTCCTTAGCTTACAATGTAATTTTATTGTTGAAAAAAGGGGCAAAAATTAATTTAGTTTTATTTATCCGTATCGTATGATTAAAAAGTTAGAAATAGTTTTTAGAGGAGTTAAACATTTTTTTAATAACTAATTTTATTATAATTAATTAATAGTTATGTTATTTAGCTTACGCTAAAAATAAAGGAATTGTAAAAGATTTTATTCCTAAATTTTTAAGTTACCCAACCTGCGGTTGCCATGGTGATTTATCAATAAGTCCCGCCATTTTGAATAAAAACGTTTTCTTTTTACTTTTAGGTTAGAAGTTCGAAAATAAACGAGATTGAGGCGATTTTCAGCGAAGGGGTGAGTGATTTTTATTTGATTTATTTACGAAACTAATTATAATACTTTTATAAAAACGCAAATTTAAAATTAATCGAAATACGACGATTAACGATTAAAGGAAGATTTTATTTGAGCCGATTTTTTTAGTTAACGAACTAAAAAAAACTTATTGCACTTATCTTTTAATTAATTCATTAATTAATAATAATAATGATAGAGTTAATCATCGACTAAATCAAGTTCGATATCGCTTAAATCCATTTGTTGGAGCGTGTTGATGATTATGTATCGAGAGAATAACATGTATAATTTTCTGTACCAAACGAGTTGTGATTGATGTTTTTTCATAGCTTGGCGGAGTTTGGTTCGCCCGTCCGATCTTAAAATGTACCTAGGATTTAAAAAAATTAATTTAATCTAATCTGAATTGGGTTAAAATTAAAAATAACCTTACCTATACCTAGATAACAAAAAGCTTAATGGTATATCCAACAAAAACCAATACTTCCTAACAATATTTACACTTTCCAAAACGTAAACTCTACATTCTAAAATTTTGAGGTTAATTTTTGATGTATAATGATTTAAAAACTTACGTGGTGGTAATCTTTTATCCAGACTCAAATGGGCGATTGCGTAATATATGCTGCAATGATTAATGTGTCTACTAACTCCATGTTTATCAAATGTAATTAATGTATCAATGTTGTACATTTCAACTTGTTGTAAAATCAAATTTGCCACTAACTCCGTGGGCCAACTCCCATCGATTGAATCTTGCATATACGTGTTATTATAAATGGTGATATCGCCTTCGTTTACCCCTAAAATTCGGCACGCATCATAAAGTTCTTGTTTCCTCTTTTTCCCCAATCCGTATCCGTTCCCCATCGACAAACAAATCACGTACAATCGACACGAATCGTTTTCTATGAGATGGTGTACGATGGGGCCAAAAAACATGCATTCGTCGTCCGGGTGCGCAATCACCAACAAAGTACGATTTGAATTGTCGATCTCTCGCGTGAATCGTATCTTATCCCAGCGGGTTATTAAAGCGTAAAGTAGCACGCAGAACGTGATGTAAAGGAAACATGCTAAAACTAGGTGCTCCACGGCGTCTTCGGTGTACGTTCTCACCTGGGTTATCAAATCCGACCAAAACTCGAACGTTATTAACCTCTGAACGCAATTGCTTCTCCAGAGGAAATCTTTACTCATGACCACATTAAACGGTATTTATAAATACTCTTAGGACGCGGCATCGGTTACATAAATATCAAAACTCTATAAATAGGGCGCAAAAACGATCGAAAAATCCAACGACAAATTTTTTTCTTATACTTTGACATTTGAGGTTATGTTTGATTCGGTACCAACCCAAAATTATTTTAAAATTTATGTTGGTACTAAAATAAAATGACACATCGATTTTTGTCATTTTTGTTTTGTGAGTGACGCTTTCGAGGTTTATTGAGGTTATAATGAGTCTTAGAACGTTTGGCGATAAACCGATAAGTTTCCAATTGGAAGAAAATGGGGAATATTATTGCGTTGGATCCGAGGTGATTAAAAAAAAGCTTGGGTATAATTTAAGAATCATCATGTCGCTTAAAAATCGGCTGGAAATCACTTAAGTAAGTCGTTATAAATAAAGAAAGGTACGGAAAAGTGTAAAACTTACCGAAAAATCACTAAATCACGGTTTTTGAAGCACAACGACTAAAATGTCGTTGTTTACCATTAAACTTCATTAATATTGAAGATAAATATGTCGTGTTTGTACTCATTTTAAAGGATTTTTAATCCAGGAAAATTAATTGAGGTTGACATTTTAAACCTGAAGTTAGTTATCATACAGGGTGTACAAAAAGTATGGATTCTACAGCCTTAATTTCAACTTATATTAAAAAAAGTTACTTGAAACCAATGGACAACATTTTAAACATTTAATTTAATGCTGTTACTGTTTTTGTTTTATTTCCATATGGCGTTTTGCAACACCTTGTCAAAAGGAATTCAAAAACCTTAAAATATACAGGTTAAAAAACACATTCATGTCGTCATCATTATTTTATTTCTATACCAAAATATGCGGAAAATAATTATAATATAAGTTGAAGTTTAGGCTGTAGAACCATTATTCCATACTTTTTGTACACTCTGTATAATAGACAAATGGAAAATTTCATGGTGTTCTTTCACTGTGTTGCATATCTTTATTGAATTAAAACCAGAACAAACATTAGACCTAGTACTAGAAAAAATCGTCTTAGCCCTGCGCCTAAAAATAATTTTGATGCTTTTTGAAACAGTTTCGACGCACGGCTAAGAAAAAAACTTTCAGGTGTTAATGTCAACTTTAATTTTATTGTTAAATTCGTAATCTTTATAAAATAACCTTTAAAATGAGTCCAAACATGACGCATTTATCTTGAAAAGCAAAAAAGATAGAATAAAAAATATTAAACCTGAAGTTAGCAACAATTTAATTTTTAAATATTAATACCAACCTTAATTCCTGATTTTTTTTTTTGTTATAATTTTGTTTTTGTGGCAAATTTTAACACATTTTATAAAAATTAAGAATATATAAAAATGACATTGACATTTCAAACCGGAAGTTATTTATATCTGCAGTAATATTGGAATTAAATGTGTCACGTTTGGGCTCATTTCAAAGGATTTTTCACGAGAATTACAAACATGTCAAAATTGAGGTTGGGGTCATTTCGTCTTAATTATTAGCCATTTTGAAAATGTTGTAATTAAATTTTTTTTTAATGATTAGTTTTATTAAATTTGATATGAAAAGCCCTTTAAAATGAGCCCAAACACGATAGGGTTATCTTTAAAACCAATTTTTCCAAAATGGCGGATTCACAACGAGCGCCATCTACAAAATATTTGTTTGTGAAGATAACCCCGTGGAGTTTGGACTCATTTTAAAGGATTTTTCATTTCTAATCTCATCAAATTAATTAAATTATAAATAAATGACGCGTCTTAATTATTAGCCATTTTGAAAATGTTATAATTAAATTTTTTTTTATTGCTTAGTTTTATTAAATTTGATATGAAAAGCACTTTAAAATGAGCCCAAACACGATAGGGTTATCTTTAAAACAATTTTTCCAAAATGGCGGATTCACAACGAGCGCCATCTACAAAACAATCGTTTTTAAAGTTAACCCCGTCGAGTTTGGACTCATTTTAAAGGATTTTTCATTTATAATCTCATCAAATTAATTAAATTTAAAATAACCCGTCTTAATTATTAGCCATTTTGATAATATTTTAATTAAATTTTTTTCAAATAATTATTTTTATCAAATTTGATATGAAAAATCCTTTAAAATGAACCCAAACACGATGGTGTTATTTTTAAAAATAATTTTTCCAAAATGGCGGATGCTCAACGAGCGCCATCTACAAAATATTCATTTTTGAAGATAACCCCGTCGAGTTTGGACTCATTTTAAAGGATTTTTCATTTCTAATCTCATCAAATTAATTAAATTTAAAATAACCCGTCTTAATTATTAGCCATTTTGAAAATAAGTGGATTAATTTTTTTTAAATAATTAATTTTATCAAATTTGATATGAAAAATCTTTTAAAATGAGCCTAAACTCGATGGGGTTATCTTTAAAAATAATTTTTCCAAAATGGCGGATTCTCAACGAGCGCCATCTATGAAATATTAGTTTTTAAAAATAACCCCGTGGAGTTTGGACTCATTTTAAAGGACTTTTCATTTCTAATCTCACCATATTAATTAAATTTAAAATAAGCCGTTTTAATTATTGGCCATTTTGAAAATGTTGTAATTAAATTTTTTTTTAATGCTTATTTTTATTAAATTTGATATGAAACATCCTTTAAAATGAGCCCAAACACGATAGGGTTATCTTTAAAAATAATTGTTCCAAAATGGCGGATTCTCCACGAGCGCCATCTACAAAACATTCGGTTTTAAAGGTAACCCCGTCGAGTTTGGACTCATTTTAAAGGATTTTTCATTTTTAATCTCATCAAATTAATTAAATTTAAAATAACTCGTCTTAATTATTAGCCATTTTGAAAATATTGCAATAAATTTTTTTTTAAATAATTATTTTTATCAAATTTGATATGAAAAATCCTTTAAAATGAGCCCAAACTCGATGGGGTTATCTTTAAAAAGAATTTTTCCAAAATGGCGGATTCTCAACGAGCGCCATCTACAAAACATTCGTTTTTAAAGGTAACCCCATCGAGTTTGGACTCATTTTAAAGGATTTTTCATTTCTAATCTCATCAAAATGATTAAATTTTAAAATAATCCATTTTAATTATGAGTCACTATCACTAGAACTCATTTTTCGGTATATTCTACACTTTTCCGCACTTTCTTTTAATTTCTAACGTGTTTTTTTGTTTCATTTCACATTGATTAAAAAAAATCGTTGATTTTTTAGTACCATGATGATGATATCTTGAATTTTTCCAAAAACTTACAAATCAAAAATAAATTAATCGGGGTAATTTTAAGGTTGGAAATTATCTCCGTTTATTCCGGGGGTCCCTTTATAAGCGTTACCCGGGAATGTACCGGCGTTCCATAACCAACGAGGAACGCAAACGCCTCATCGATCTTGGATTGAGCCAACACGTCTTGGCTAGTAGCGTATCTCTTCTCCGAGCGAATGAGGTTGAGGATATAATTGAGGGGAACGATGAAAAATACAAAGCGGTTTCGGTTCACACTTCCGATCCACCTTTACCACGCGAAAGCAAATCGAAAAAATCGATGCAATGGGTCCCTTCGTTACCAAATTCAAGCCATTTAGACGCCGTGCCCCAAGCAACCCCGATTAATCGAAATCGAGTTAATTCCAAGAAAGTACGCACTTTTCCTTTGTGTTTCGACGACACCGATCCCCAGGTTAATATTGAAAATGCCTCGCAAATGGAGGTTTTAGTTCCGATTCGGTTGGATATGGAGATTGAGGGGCAAAAATTGCGCGATACTTTTACGTGGAATAAAAATGAGAGTATGATTTCGCCGGAGCAATTCGCTGAAGTGCTTTGCGACGATTTAGATTTGAATCCGTTGACTTTTGTACCGGCGATTTCACAAGCTATCCGACAACAAATTGATGCATTTCCGGTTGAGCCCCCGGCGATTATTGAGGAATCTTGCGACCAAAGGGTTATTATTAAGTTGAATATTCACGTTGGGAATACATCTTTAGTGGATCAGGTGAATTTTAATTAAAGTTATGGTAAAAAGAGTAAAGAGTAAACAATTTGCGATGTTAGAGTGAGAAAATCTAGTTTTGAAATGAGATAGAAGATATTTCAATTTAAATGTCAATAACAAACATAACCTACAAATAATAATTATAATATAAATATTTTCTATGTTGAAAACTTTGAAACAAAAAATTATTTTAGTTACAAAAAATATTCATTCTGTCGATGGAATAAGAAATAAAACTAAGAGTGCCAGGAGTTGCCTAGGAGTTAGCGCCATCTAGTGGTTTACCGTTAGCAACAAAATTGTTTGGAGTCGGTATAAGCTCCGCCCATCTCTGTGACGTCAAGACTTAGTGAAGGTAGTCACGTTTTTACATCGTTGTTTAAATGTCAACATTTCTATAACCTAAAAAATTTTTTTTTGAGGTTAAATTTACATTAAATTATCTAGCAACGTCGCTCGCTTCGCTTCTCTCAAAGAAAGAGAGAGCGAGAAGCGAAGCGAGCGACGTTGTTACATAATTTAATTTAAATTTAACCTCAAAAACAATTTTTTTAGGTTATAAACATTTTGACAGTTAAACAATGATTTAGAAACGTGGCTAAGTTCATTTCTGTCAGAAAAAAAGACGTAGAAACGAAGTGAGTGACGTTTCTAAATCATTGATAAATGTCAAAATTTTATAACCTAAAAATTGTTGAGGTTATGAGATTTAAATTAAATTATCTAACAACGTCGCTCGCTTCGCTTCTCTCAAAGAAAGAGAGAGCGAGAAGCGAAGCGAGCGACGTTGTTACATAATTTAATTTAAATTTAACCTCAAAAACAATTTTTTTAGGTTATAAAAATTTTGACAGTTAAACAATGATTTAGAAACGTGGCTAAGTTCATTTCTGTCAGAAAAAAAGACGTAGAAACGAAGTGAGTGACGTTTCTAAATCATTGATAAATGTCAAAATTTTATAACCTAAAAATTGTTGAGGTTATGAGATTTAAATTAAATTATCTAACAATGTCGCTCGCTTCGCTTCTCTCAAAGAAAGAGCGAGCGAGAAGCGAAGCGAGCGACGTTGTTAGATAATTTAATTTAAATTTAACCTTAAAAACAATTTTTTTTAGGTTATAAAAATTTTGATAGTTAAACAATGCTTTAGAAACGTGGCTAAGTTCATTTCTGTCTGAAAAAAAGATGTAGAAACGAAGTGAGTCACGTTTCTAAATCATTGATAAATGTCAAAATTTTATAACCTAAAAATTGTTGAGGTTATGAGATTTAAATTAAATTATCTAACAATGTCGCTCGCTTCGCTTCTCTCAAAGAAAGAGCGAGCGAGAAGCGAAGCGAGCGACGTTGTTAGATAATTTAATTTAAATTTAACCTTAAAAACAATTTTTTTTAGGTTATAAAAATTTTGATAGTTAAACAATGCTTTAGAAACGTGGCTAAGTTCATTACTGTGAAAAAAAAGACAGAAACGAAGTGAGTGACGTTTCTAAATCATTGATAAATGTCAAAATTTTATAACCTAAAAATTGTTGAGGTTATGAGATTTAAATTAAAGATGTCGGTGCTTATTGATAAATCACCATGTTAACGGTAGGGTTGAAAACTTTAAAAGAAAAAATTATTTTAGTTACAAAAAATATTCGTAAGCTTTTCTGTCGATGGAATAAGAAATAAATCTTAAGTCTTTGACGCACGGCATAACCCCAAAATTTCTAGTTAGTTTTATTTTTAACTCGAAATGAGTTAATTTTTTTCTAATGAAACGTCAAAAAATGACATTTGAAAAGGACGCATAGGAGTTAGCGCCATCTAGTGAAATTTAGTAACATTAATTATTTTTTTTAATAACTTTCTATTAAATTTTTGCTATATTAACGCGTAATTAGGTCGAATTAACTTAATAAAGAAATAACAACAACCTAAACAAATTTCTATTTAACAATCAAAATTGTTAAAGTTTAAAAGTTTTTTTTTGTGATATTTTAGGTTGGTATAACATTTTGGTGTTTGACGCACGACATAACCTCAAAATTTCTAGTTTCAGTTTTATATCTAACTCAAAATGAGTTAAATAAAGCTTTTTTTAATGAAACGTCAAAAAACGTCACTTGAAGAAGACGCGCCATCTAGTGAAATTTGTTAGCATTAATTTTTTTAATAACTTTATTGAATTTTTGTTATATTAACGCTTAATTAAATCAAAAATCGTCGTTTTTTTTTAATTAGAAGAATAACACGTTTTAAACATCATTTATACGAAATTAATGTCAGTTGATGTGATTAATATTTGACATTTAAAATTTTAACTGTCATTTTTATAGGTTATTTTGTAATAAGTGTACTTACTCTGTTTTAAAAACGGATCATTCAGCTTCTTTTAATGCGAAAATTGTTTAATATAATTATTATAAAACGTTTTTTTGATGATACAGGTGATTTTTCAAAGATGTCGGTGCTTATTGATAAATCACCATGGTAACGGCAGGGTTGAAAACTTTGAAACAAAAAATTATTTTAGTTACAAAGTATTCGTAGACTTTTTTGTCGATGGAATAAGAAATAAAACTAATACTAGAAATTTTTTAATTAATTTTATTAAAGTTTAAAAGTTTTTTTTTGTGATATTTTAAGTTGGCATAACATTTTAGTGTTTGACGCACGGTGTAACCTAAAAAATTTGTAATTTTAGTTTTATTTCTAACTCAAAATGAGTTAATTTTTGTTTTAATGAAACGTCAGAAAATGTCATTTGAGAAAGACGCGTAGGAGCTGGCGCCATCTAGTGATTTACCGTTAGCAACGAAATTGTTTGGAGTCGGTATAAGCTCCTCCCATCTCTGTGACGTCAAGGCTTAGTTACGTTTTTAAATCATTTAAATGTCAACAAGTCTATAACCTAAAATAAATTTTTTTGAGGTTAGATTTAAATTAAATTATCTAGCAACGTCGCTCGCTTCGCTTCTCTCAAAAAGAGAGAGAGCGAGAAGCGAAGCTAGCGACGTTGCTAGATAATTTAATTTAAATCTCATAACCTCAACAATTTTTAGGTTATAAAATTTTGACATTTATCAATGATTTAGAAACGTCACTCACTTCCGTTTCTACATCTTTTTTTCTGACAGAAATGAATTTAGCCACGTTTCTAAATCATTGTTTAAATGTCAACATTTTTATAACCTAAAAAAATAGTTTTTGAGGTTAAATTTAAATTAAATTATCTAACAACGTCGCTCGCTTCGCTTCTCGCTCTCTCTCTTTTTGAGAGAAGCGAAGCGAGCGACGTTGCTAGATAATTTAATTTAAATCTAACCTCAACAATTTTTTTTTTAGGTTATAAAATTTTGACATTTATTTAGAAACGTCACTCACTTCGTTTCTACATCTTTATTTCTGACAGAAATGAATTTAGCCACGTTTCTAAATCATTGTTTAAATGTCAACATTTTTATAACCTAAAAAAAATTGTTTTTGAATTAAGTTGTCAATTTAAAGGTCGATAACGTTCAAGATCATAAAAAAAATGGTAACCCTACATCAAAGCGCATCTTGTTTACTCTTTAATCTTTGGTAATGGTTAACTACAAATTATTTTGAGGTTAGGTTGAGTGGGATATGTCGGAAAAAGATAATAACCCAGAAATGTTTGCCGTAAAGCTTTGTGCGGAGCTTGGATTAGGTGGTGAATTTGTTACCGCGATTGCTTATTCGATTCGTGGGCAATTATCGTGGCATCAAAGAACGTATGCGTTTAGCGAGGCTCCTCTACCAACCGTTGAGGTTCCGTTTCGACCCCCGAGCGAAGCCGATCAGTGGGCCCCCTTTTTAGAGACTCTAACCGACGCGGAGATGGAGAAAAAGATTCGCGATCAAGATCGCAACACCCGGCGAATTCGAAGATTGGCTAATACGACCCCCGGATGGTAAAATTTCCGGTTCTCCAACTCGATTAATTCTTTTTTAGATTGTGTTGACATGAATCTTGTTTTAGGGTGAACGCAAGACCCGTTTGAGTCGATTTCGCTTAATTTAATTAATCATGGATATTGGATCGTTTAATAAAACTAATTAATTCGTTCTTATTTTTTGTTTTACGACGTAATAAAAGTCTTAAGTTCGTGAGTATCAAATGAAATAAGTTTTTGAATTATAAACATTTACCTTGTCATTCCTGAAATTGATTTGCACCAAAATTTGAATTCACCGGGTTAAAAAGAATCAATTAAATAAAGTTTTTACAAATTTAAATCGCAACTTCAAGTAATTAGAACTGTCAAATAATGATAAAAACAAAACGTAGTTGTCTGACTTACCGACATCGAGCTTTTCTTTTCATTTATTTGCTTTTAAATTAAATATTGTTATTAATTATACTTAATTTAACATCCCCGGAATCGTTTCATAAAAATTTATTTTACAACTTTATTTTTAACGGTTTTTTCGCTATTTCAATCAAAATTTGAACTGTCAATTAAGAATTGGGACTCAACGATATAGAAAATTATAGATCGACTTTTATTTTGGTAGATATTTTTGAGCGATTTTTTTTTTATTTATTAAAAATAACGGTTTCAATCGATTTGTTTAAATGTAAATTAATAACGGAAGAATTAATTTTATAAATTTAAAAACGAATTAACGACTTAATTTTTTTAGTAATCCGTAAAATGTTATATCTATGTCCTTAAGCGTCAAATGAAATAAGTTTTTGAATTATTTTAAGTCGATTTTTTTAAATTAAATTAATTAAAACATTTACCTTGTCATTCGTGAAACCGATTTGTACCAAAATTTGGATTCGCCGGTTTAAAAAAAATCATTGAAATGTTTTAACACATTTAAATCGTAACTTCAAGTAATTAGAACTGTCAATTAATGACAACAACAAAACGTAGGTATCTGACTTACCGACATCGATTTTTCTTTTCATTTATTTGTTTTAAAATTAAATATTGTTATAAATTATACTTAATTTAACATTCCCGGAATCGTTTCATAAAAATTTATTTTACAACTTTATTTTTTTCGCTGTTTCAAACAAAGTTTGAACTGTCAATTAAGAATTGGGACTCAACGATATAGAAAATTATAGATCGACTTTTATTTTGGTAGACATTTTTGGTACCATTTTTTTTTATTTATTAATAATAACGGTTTTAATTGATTTGTTTAAATGTAAATTAATAACGGATGAATTAATTTTATAAATTTAAAAACGAATTAACGAGTTAATTTTTTTAGTAATCCGTAAAATATTATATCTATGTCCTTAAGCGTCAAATGAAATAAGTTTTTGAATTATTTTAATTTGATTTTTTAATCAAATTAATTAAAACACTTACCTTATCATTCTTAAAACCGATTTGCACCAAAATTTGGATTCGCCGGGTTAAAAAAAATCAATAAAATGTTTTAACAAATTTAAATCGTAACTTCAAGTAATTAGAACTGTCAATTAATGACAACAACAAAACGTAGGTGTCTGACTTACCGACATCGATCTTTTCTTTTCATTTATTTGTTTTTAAATTAAATATTGTTATAAATAATTGAATGCAATACTTAATTTAACATCCCCGGAATCGTTTCATAAAAATTTATTTTACAACTTTATTTTTAATGGTTTTTTCGCTGTTTCAAACAAAGTTTGAACTGTCAATTAAGAATTGGGACTCAACGATATAGAAAATTATAGATCGACTATTACATTGGTAGACATTTAGGTAGCCATTTTTTTAAATTTATTAATAACAACGGTTTCAATTGATTTAAACAGTTTTTTATTACTAAAACGGAATGTTTTTATAATAATAGTTTTATAAAAAAAATATCACACACAGAGACAATCGAGACAAAGCTGCTTTAACTTACGTGTTTTTGCATTTTTAACCTTTTTTTTTTTTTTTATTTGCTCTCTTTAACTATATCCAGCAAGAACGGTGCCTAAAAACGTTTTTTTTCATCCATTTACATCGACGAGACCTTAAAGGGTGTAAGGTGATGGTGTTTTTCGAGTGCGTCGATCGCTTTTTAAAACGATCGGAGACAAAAACGAACACAAAACTTTTTTTTTTATACTTTTTTAACCCAATTTTGATTACGCTTGCCCTCCGTTGTATGCATAATCAGCCTTGTTATGCATAATAAGGTGATCATCCACGAAATAAAATGAATCCGAACGCGTTTCAAAAGGATTCGCTATCATTTCATTCACTAGAAAGAAAAAAATAATTTTTTTAGGTTATTATTTTTATTGTGTTACCATTGAGATTTAGAAACGTCACTCATTTCATTTCTAGATCCTTTTTAGTGACAGAAATGAAGTTAGCCACGTTTTTAAATCTTATAAATGTCAAAATTTTTATAACCAAAAAAATTTTTTTTTTAGGGTTAGATTTAAATGAAATTATCTAACAACGTCGCTCGCTTCGCTTCTCGCTCTCTCTCTTTTTGAGAGAAGCGAAGCGAGCGACGTTGCTAGATAATTTAATTTAAATCTAACCTCAACAATTTTTTTTTTTAGGTTATAAAAATTTTGACATTTAAACAATGTATTAGAAACGTCGCTTATTTCGCTTTTATACTCTATTTTTTAATTCGGAGGAGTGTTTTTAAATTGAAGCGTCAAAAGAAAGGAAAATTGGTCAGTTTTAAGCAAAAATTACACTAGGAAAATTCGAGATGTTGCTGGCCGCCTAGAAACTAAATCCGAATGATTCTAGTTCTAGGTCTAGTGTTAGTTCTAGTTTTAATTGAATAAGAATACACCATACAACTTTTCCATGTTGTATATGAGTTGTTAACAGTTTTAGATGTCGTTTTTGATACATTTAAACAACCTTTAGCCGTAATGAATCTGTCCCCAGTCATTTAGACAAGTTTTCAATAATTTTGAACAACTTATAATTGTTTTGGAGCAATTTTAAAACATTTAGACATGTTTAGGTTAATTACCAATTTGTTTTTAATCATTTTGAACAACTTTAAATTTAGTTTTTAATCGTTTTGAACAATTTGATATGGTTATTAACCAATTCGCAATCGTTTAGACAAGTTTTCAATTAGTCCAAATTAGTTTTCAATAATTTTGAACAACTTATAATCGTTTTGGAACAATTTTAAAACATTTAGACATGTTTAGGTTGATTACTACTTTGTTTTTAATCATTTTGAACAACTTGATATGGTTATTAACCAATTTGCAATCGTTTAGACAAGTTTTCAATTAGCCCAAATTAGTTTTCAATAATTTTGAACAACTTATAATCGTTTTGAAGCAATTTTAAAACATTTAGACATGTTTAGGTTGCTTGCCAATTTGTTTTTAATCATTTTGAACAACTTTAAATTTAGTTTTTAATCATTTTGAACAACTTGATATGGTTATTAACCAATTCGCAATCGTTTAGACAAGTTTGCAATTAGACCAAATTAGATTTCAATAATTTTGAACAACTTATAATCGCTTTGGAGCAATTTTAAAACATTTAGACATGTTTAGGTTGATTGCCAATTTGTTTTTAAACATTTTGAACAACTTTTCTATTTTGTAAATGTGTTTTGAACAACTTTAAATTAAATTTTTAATCGTTTTGAACAACTTGATATGATTATTAAACAATTCGCAATCGTTTAGACATGTTTTTAATTAGCCCAAATTAGTTTTCAATAATTTTGAGCAACTTATAATCGTTTTGGAGCAATTTTAAAACATTTAGACAAGTTTTGAATCATTGCCAACGTGTTTTTAATCACTTTGAGCAACTTTTCCAAGATGTAAACGTGTTTTGAACAACTTGGAACTGTAATATACCAGTTTCCAATAAGTTAGACAAGTTTTTAATCATTACCTTTTGATTTTTAATCATTTTGAACAACTTTTTCATCTTGTAAATGAATTTTAATCAATCTTAGATGCAGTTTTTAATTGTTTTGTACAACTTGGCACGGTAACGAACTATTTCTTAATCATTTAGACAAGTTTTTAACAACACCAAATTAATTTTCAGCAATTTTGAACGACTTGTAATAACTTTGGAGCAATTTTAAAACATTTAGACAAGTTTTGAATCATTACCAACTTGTTTTTAATCACTTTGAGCAACTTTTCCAAGATGTAAACATGTTTTGAACAACTTTAGATGCAGTTTGAACAACTTGCAACAGTAATGTACCAGGTTACAACAAGTTAGACAAGTTTTTAATCATTACCAATTGGTTCTTAATCACTTTGAACAACTTTTTCATCTTGCAAATGAATTTTGATCAATCTTAGATACAGTTTTTAATCGTTTTCTACAACTTTGAACGGTAACGAAGTAGTTTATAATCATTTAGACAAGTTTTCAATAACACCAAATTAGTTTTTAGTAATTTTGAACGACTTGTAATAGCTTTGGAGCAATTTTAAAACATTTAGACAAGTTTTGAATCATTACCAAAGCGGTCTTAATCATTTTGAGCAACTTTTCCAAGTTGTAAAGTTTTGAACAACTTTAGATGCAGCTTTTAATCGTTTTTGTTTTACTCCTTCGAATTAAAAAATAGAGTATAGACCTTTCTTTTTGACAGAAGTGAAGCTAGCCATGTTTTTAAATTATTGTTTAAATGTCAAAATTTTTATAATCTAAAATAAATTTTTTTCTTATATTTTTGTTATATTTTTTGACATTTAAACAACGATTTAGAAACGTCATTCATTTCGATTATAGATATCTTTTTTTCTGACAGAAATGAACTTAGCCACGTTTCTAAACCATTCTTTAAATGTCAATATTTTTATAACCTAAAAAAATCGTTTTTGAGGTTAGATTTAAATTAAATTATCTAGCAACGTCGCTCGCTTCGCTTCTCTCAAAAAGAGAGAGAGCGAGAAGCGAAGCGAGCGACGTTGTTAGATAATTTAATTTAAATTTAACCTCAAAAACTATTTTTTTAGGTTATAAAAATGTTGACATTTAAACAATGATTTAGAAACGTGGCTAAATTCATTTCTNAATTAAATTATCTAACAACGTCGCTCGCTTCGCTTCTCGCTCTCTCTCTTTTTGAGAGAAGCGAAGCGAGCGACGTTGCTAGATAATTTAATTTAAATCTAACCTCAACAATTATTTTTTTAGGTTATAAAAATTTCGACATTTATCAATGATTTAGAAACGTCACTCACTTCGTTTCAACATCTTTTTTTCTAACAGAAGTGAAGTTAGCCGAGTTTCTAAATCATCATTTAAACGTCAAAATTTTATAACCTAAAAAAAAAAAATTTTCTTTTAAATTTACCTAAATCGGTGGGTAACGTCGGAAATTCATAAATATGTTCACAAGTATTCCTTGAGTGAGGTATACAAAATCCAAATTCGAAATCGAACGTTTTTAAAAGTTTATCTCTGAAGAAATGCTTCTCAATCATTCGGAACTTATTGACAGGTTTGCTCCCAACGGTAAATTCAACCCTATCAATTCATTACTACATTAATCATTTATTAATTTTAATTAATTCATTAACTTACGTAGCCCCGACCGTTTTTAATTTCAAAAATTGCGGGGTGAATTGGTACCTCACAAATCTCCCAGCATTGGGATCAACGGGCTCTTCATTTTCGCCTCGATTATCGACGCTTTCCTCCAAACTATCTATAATCGGTTTAGCAATCTCAAACAAAACGGCCCCGCTTTCCAAGTCGCGTATTTTAAACCGAGTAAAATCGATGTCGTAAACGTTAGCGTCGGGCGAGCACAAATAACTATCGGCGATTGAGGTTAAACGCAAAACGTATTCGGGCGTTATTAAAGGTTTCGAATCGCTTTGTTGGAACGACGATGGTTTATTCGTGAAATTTTCGCGCTTTTCGCGTATTATACTCATTTTTCTTGAACGATTTCGACCAAAAACTTGTTATAATCAACTTTTTTTGTTTGTAACAAACTTTTTGACGTTTGACATTTGACATTAAACAGAGTGAATAGAGTTATTTAGATTTAGGGTACGTTCAGATAAATCGATAACCTCACTGTTAAATGTCATTCATTTTACAAAGATGAAACAAGATTAAAATGAGATTCCTTTCAACGAATATAGTAAAAACCTTCTCGAATAATCTTAATTTAACCGTTTTGGACGCCCCAAAACTCGTTTCGCACTTCAAAGAGAAGATTATTTATAAGAAAGTTAATGATTTAAATTCTTGGTACACTCGAGTAATAGGGTTGGATGAAGTTAAGTTGTATCAGGATCGGGTCGTCGATTTGCAAGTAAATTAATTAATTTTTTAAAAATTAAGATTCGTTTTATAACGAGAATTTTAGGATAAATTATTAACAGCCCAAGAACGTAGGCGAGAAATGGGTTTTGCTTTATCACTAATTAGAAAGAAATCGAACGAATTACAAGATAGATTACACAAAGTTAAACGCCAAGATGATTTGCAATTATTCTTGGATTTAATGCGCGAAGAAACGGAGATTTTAAAGCAAGAGAGGGAGGTTCAAGACATGTTTGTGAATTACGATAGAGAGGAACGCGAGATTTTCACTGCTTTTGCAAACGCCATTCGAGATTCGCACGAAAAGCAAAGATCCCAAGTGGAATACACGAAATATTTAGGGTTAATTTTGAGCATTTTGGGGTCGTTTTTGGGTTTTGCTTATTCCAGCATACGGAAGGATGATTTAAAAAAATTTATTGAGGGCAAAATTGAGGAAATCTCCTCAAAACAACTCCAAATCGAGGATGTAACAAGAAAAGGTGATCAGAATTATGCAAAGTTGGTGCAAAAATTGGATGAAAATACAAATAGGATACAAAATGTTGAAAGAAATGATTTTAATGAGGAATTTAAGGACTTTGTGGATACTCTTCCTGATCAAAGTACAATTATTCGATATACTATTTATGCTTTAGTAGGATACACTATTTTAAGAATCATTATGTGAGAGTGAGAAAATTAAAATAAACATTAATATTATCAGAGTTGTTTTAATTTAAATATAAACCTTAAATCAATCATGAAATAAATTGATTGCGCTCTCTATTGGGCGAAAACTAAACTATGATTTAATACAGGTGATGCGATAATAGATGGCGCTAAATAAAAAATTAATTTTAAAAATGCACCCTCTGTTAGTAAAGAAGAAATCTATAATGATTGTTGGGTAAGATAATAAAAGATGGCGCTGTTTTAATCTTCGATTTTCATGGAGAAATTTATTAATTTATATTTTTATTTTTTTCTTTAACGAGATCTAATTGACCTAAAATTTTTAAATGTCTCCTTGAAGTCACCTTGAACGACCTCTAAATGACCTTCAAGTGATTGCAATTGAAAATTTTGTTCGAAAATTTTTGGATGTCTCCTTGAAGTCACCTTGAACGACCTCTAAATGACCTTCAAGTGATTGCAATTGAAAATTTTGGTCGAAAATTTTTGGATGTCTCCTTGAAGTCACCTTGAACGACCTCTAATTGACCTTCAAGTATATAAAAGTGAAATATTTTTGAAAAATTTTAATGTCTTGACAAATTATTCAATTTAGCGCCATCTATTATCGAATTACCAAAGCTTTAGTAAAAAAAAAACTTAATCATCCGCCCAATAGATGTCGCCCTAACAATTTTTTTTTTTAAACTTTAAAATTTATTTCTGAATTGGAGGATTTAGGGTTAGATTTAAATCAAAACAACTTGTATGGTACCAATATTGTTTATTTATATTATAAATACAATTTAATACAATTTTTTTTAAATTTATTTTAAATTTAATCATTTCGATAAGATTAGAAATGAAAAATCCTTTAAAATGAGTCCAAACTCGACGGGGATATTTACAAAAGCGAATATTGCGTAGATGGCGCTCGTTGTGAATCCGCCATTTTGGAAAAATTACTTTTAAAGATAACCCCATTGAGTTTGGGCTCATTTTAAAGGATTTTCCAAATCCAATTTAATAAAAACAATTATTTTTAATTTTAACGATATTTTTAACAAAAATTTTAAATAAGAAAGCGAAAAATAAAATAGAAATCATTTTTTTTCGATTATATAACATTAATTAATATTTCGCAGCTCACTCAACCGTTAAATTATGCAAATTAAAACCAATAATCGGATTCAATCTTCGTTATACAATCGTTTTAATAGTTAAAAATGTATTACTAAGCCCAGTTTTTAAATAAACACCATCAAAACAAGTTACAAGTAAATATATGATGTGATAAATCATGAATTATCAATGAATTGCACCAGATAAAATCAAAAAAAAAGTTTTAAATATCTTATAGAGATAAAACGGATTAAAAATCGAAACGTGCCGTCGTTTTTCATCGCCAAAAATTAATTCGTGGTGAGATTCCAACGAATTAAAATGATTTCTTTAACGAAAGGGTTAATAATAGTGGGCGTTATCGTGGTTATTGCGGTCGTTTCGAGTGTTACCGCGGTTTTATTGACCGGAAACGATGATTTGGACGAAGAATACAATTTTCGATTATCAATAATACATCTAAATGATTTTCACGCACGGTTTGAAGAAACTTCAACCGATTCGGGGTCGTGCAAATCAAACGAATGCATTGGGGGTATTTCTAGAGTTTACACCGCCGTTAATCAGTTGAGAGAATCGCGAGTTAACCCGATTTTTTTAAACGCCGGGGATAATTTTCAAGGAACTTTGTGGTATAATTTGTTTAAATGGAACGTTACCGCGCATTTTTGGAACATTTTAGAACCGAACGTTACGGTAAAACTTTAATTATTTCATTTTTAATTAATTAATTAACGACGATTTTTAGACTCTGGGTAATCACGAATTTGATGACAAAATCGAAGGTTTGGTTCCGTTTCTGAACGCGCTCAATTCCCCGATTGTCGTTTCCAACATTGACGACTCCGAAGAACCCACAATGCAAGGGTTGTACGAAAAAAGTACCGTTTTGGAGGTGGATGGGAGAAAAATCGGCGTCGTTGGAGTCATTTTATCAACAACAAACGTAAAGTTAAATTGACATTTATTAAAATTGACGTTTTAAAAAAAAAAAACTTAAAAAAATTAATTTCCCCCAGAAAAAAAAAGTTACTAAGTCACTTCATCAATAATAAACGTGAAGTAATTGACGTTTAAAAAAAAAACTTATAAAAATTAAATTCCCCCAGAAAAAAAAAAAGTTACTAAGTCACTTTATCAATAACGTGAAGTAATTGACATTTAAAAAAAAAACTTATAAAAATTAAATTCCCCTAAAAAAAAAAATAACTACGTCATATTTTAATTTGACGTTTTGAGGTTAAGTTAAAATTTTGTTGTAGGAAATCGCTTCAACGGAGAAATTAAAATTTTTGGATGAATCCGAGAGCGTTAATAAAGAAGCGGAACGCCTTTTTAACGAGGAAGGCGTATTCACGGTGATTGTTTTATCTCATTGTGGTTACGAAGTAGATCAAGAAATTGCCCGGAAAGCAATCCCCGGAATCAGTGTGATCGTTGGGGCTCACTCCCACACTTTGTTATACAACGGTAAAGATAATTTAATAACAAAATTAAAGGTGTATTTAAGAATCATCAGATCGCTTAATAATCGAGAATTTTTTTTAATCGCTCAAGTAAGCCGTTGTTTGTATCAAATTTGATATGAAAAATCCTTTAAAATGAGCCCAAACTCGATGGGGTTATCTTTAAAAATAGTATTTTCAAAATGGCGGATTCTCAACGAGCGCCATCTACAAAATATTCGGTTTTGAAAATAACCCCGGCGAGTTTGGACTCATTTTAAAGGATTTTTCATTTCTAATCTCAACAAATTAATTAAATTTTAAAATAACTATTTTTAAAATGTTGTAATTAATTTTTTCTTAAAATGCTTATTTTATTAAATTTGATATGAAAAATCCTTTAAAATGAGCCCAAACACGATGGGGTTATCTTTAAAGATAATTTTTCCAAAATGGCGGATTCTCAACGAGCGCCATCTATAAAATATTCGTTTTTGAAAATAACCCCGGCGAGTTTGGACTCATTTTAAACGATTTTTCATTTCTAATCTATTCAAAATAATTAAATTTAAAATAACCCGTCTTAATTATTAGCCATTTTATAATAATATTTCAATAAAATTTTTTTTTAAATAATTATTTTTATCAAATTTGATAAGAAAAATACTTTAAAATGAGCCCAAACTCGATGGGGTTATCTTTAAAAATAATATTTCCAAAATGGCGGATTCTCAAAGAGCGCCATCTACAAAATATTCGTTTTTGAAAATAACCCCGGCGAGTTTGGACTCATTTTAAAGGATTTTTCATTTCTAATTTCATTAAAACAATTAAATTTAAAACAATTATTAGTCATTTTTAAAATTATTAATAATTAAGCTTTCTTTAAATGAATTGTTAAAATTAAAAATAATTATTTCTGTTAAATTGGAAATGAAAAATCCTTTAAAATGAGTCCAAACTTGATGGGGTTATCTTTAAAGGTAATTTTTCCAAAATGGCGGATTCTCAAAAAGCGCCATCTACAAAGTATTCACTTTTGAAAATAACCCCGTCGAGTTTGGACTCATTTTAAAGGATTTTTCATTTCCAATCCCATCAAATTAATTAAATCTAAAATAACCCGCTTTAAATATTAGCCATTTTGAAAACATTTTAATAAAATATTTTTAAAATAATCATTCTTATCAAATTTGATATGAAAAATCTTTTAAAATGAGCCCAAACTCGATGGAGTTATCTTTAAAAATAATATTTCCAAAATGGCGGATTCTCAACGAGCGCCATCTACAAAATCTTCATTTTTGAAAATAATCCCGGCGAGTTTGGACTAATTTTAAAGGATTTTTCATTTCTAATTTCATCAAAACAATTAAATTTTAAATAATTGTGACTCATTTTTAAAATTATTAATAATTAAGCTTTTTTTATATGAATTGTTAAAATTAAAAATAATTATTTCTGTTAAATTGGAAATGAAAAATCCTTTAAAATGAGTCCAAACTCGATGGGGTTATCTTTAAAGATAATTTTTCCAAAATGGCGGATATTCAACGAGCGCCATCTACGAAATGTTAGTTTTTAAAGGTAACCTTGTCGAGTTTGGACTCATTTTGGAGGATTTTTCATTTCTAATCTCATCAAAACAATTAAATTTAAAATAATTATGAGTCATTTTTAAAATGATAAATAATTAAGTTTTTCTTCAAATTATTAAAATTAAAAGTATATATTTCTGTTAAACAGGGAATGAAAAATCCTTTCAAATGAGCCCAAACTCGATGGGGTTATCTTTAAAGATAGTTTTTCCAAAATGGCGGATACTCCACGAGCGCCATCTACAAAATATTCGTTTTTGAAAATAACCCCGTTGAGTTTGGGCTCATTTTAAAGGATTTTTCATTTCTAATCTCATCAAATTAATTAAATTTAAAATAAACCGACTTAATTATTAGCCATTTTGAAAATGTTGTAATTATTTAATATTCGTTTTTAAAAATAACCCCATCGAGTTTGGACTCATTTCAAAGGATTTTTCATTTCTAATCTCATCAAATTAATTAAATCTAAAATAACCCGCTTTAAATATTAGCCATTTTGAAAACAATTTAATAAAATATTTTTAAAATAATCAATCTTATCAAATTTGATATGAAAAATCTTTTAAAATGTGCCTAAACTTGATGGGGTTATTTTTAAAAATATTTTTTCCAAAATGGCGGGTTCTCAACGAGCGCCATCTACAAAGTATTCGTTTTTGAAAATAACCCCGTCGAGTTTGGATTCATTTTAAAGGATTTTTCATTTCTAATTTCATTAAAACAATTAAATTTAAAACAATTATTAGTCATTTTTAAAATTATTAATAATTAAGCTTTCTTTAAATAAATTGTTAAAATTAAAAATAATTATTTCTGTTATATTGGGAATGAAAAATCCTTTAAAATGAGCCCAAACACGATGGGGTTATCTTTAAAGATAATTTTTCCAAAATGGCGGATATTCAACGAGCGCCATCTACGAAATGTTAGTTTTTAAAGGTAACCTTGTCGAGTTTGGACTCATTTTGGAGGATTTTTCATTTCTAATCTCATCAAAACAATTAAATTTAAAATAATTATGAGTCATTTTTAAAATGATAAATAATTAAGTTTTTCTTCAAATTATTAAAATTAAAAGTATATATTTCTGTTAAACAGGGAATGAAAAATCCTTTCAAATGAGCCCAAACTCGATGGGGTTATCTTTAAAGATAGTTTTTCCAAAATGGCGGATACTCCACGAGCGCCATCTACAAAATATTCGTTTTTGAAAATAACCCCGTCGAGTTTGGGCTCATTTTAAAGGATTTTTCATTTCTAATCTCATCAAATTAATTAAATTTAAAATATCCCATCTTAATTATGAGTCATTTTGAAAATGTTGTAATTAAATTTTTTTTTAATGCTTATTATTATTAAATTTGACATGAAAAATCCTTTAAAATGAGCCCAAACACGATGGGGTTATCTTTAAAATGAATATTTCCAAAATGGCGGATTCTCAACGAGCGCCATCTACAAAATATTCATTTTTGAAAATAACCCCGGCGAGTTTGGACTCATTTTAAAGGATTTTTCATTTCTAATCTCATCAAAATGATTAAATTTAAAATAACTCGTCTTAATTATTAGCCATTTTGAAAATGTTAGTTAATTTTTTTTTAAATGCTTACTTTCATGAAATTTGATATGAAAAATTCTTTAAAATGAGCCCAAACACGATGGGGTTGTTTTTAAAAATAACATTTTCAAAATGGCGGACTCTCAACGAGCGCCATTTACAAAACATTCGTTTTTGAAAATAAGCCCGGCGAGTTTGGACTCATTTTAAAGGATTTTTCATTTCTAATCTCATCAAATTAATTAAATTTAAAATATCCCGTCTTAATTATGAGTCATTTTGAAAATGTTGTAATTAAATTTTTTTTTAAATGCTTATTTTTATTAAATTTGATATGAAAAATCCTTTAAAATGAGCCCAAACTCGATGGGGTTATCTTTAAAGATAGTTTTTCCAAAATGGCGGATACTCCACGAGCGCCATCTACAAAATATTCGTTTTTGAAAATAACCCCGTCGAGTTTGGGCTCATTTTAAAGGATTTTTCATTTCTAATCTCATCAAATTAATTAAATTTAAAATAAACCGACTTAATTATTAGCCATTTTGAAAATGTTGTAATTATTTAATATTCGTTTTTAAAAATAACCCCATCGAGTTTGGACTCATTTCAAAGGATTTTTCATTTCTAATCTCATCAAATTAATTAAATCTAAAATAACCCGCTTTAAATATTAGCCATTTTGAAAACAATTTAATAAAATATTTTTAAAATAATCAATCTTATCAAATTTGATATGAAAAATCTTTTAAAATGTGCCTAAACTTGATGGGGTTATTTTTAAAAATATTTTTTCCAAAATGGCGGGTTCTCAACGAGCGCCATCTACAAAGTATTCGTTTTTGAAAATAACCCCGTCGAGTTTGGATTCATTTTAAAGGATTTTTCATTTCTAATTTCATTAAAACAATTAAATTTAAAACAATTATTAGTCATTTTTAAAATTATTAATAATTAAGCTTTCTTTAAATAAATTGTTAAAATTAAAAATAATTATTTCTGTTATATTGGGAATGAAAAATCCTTTAAAATGAGCCCAAACACGATGGGGTTATCTTTAAAGATAATTTTTCCAAAATGGCGGATATTCAACGAGCGCCATCTACGAAATGTTAGTTTTTAAAGGTAACCTTGTCGAGTTTGGACTCATTTTGGAGGATTTTTCATTTCTAATCTCATCAAAACAATTAAATTTAAAATAATTATGAGTCATTTTTAAAATGATAAATAATTAAGTTTTTCTTCAAATTATTAAAATTAAAAGTATATATTTCTGTTAAACAGGGAATGAAAAATCCTTTCAAATGAGCCCAAACTCGATGGGGTTATCTTTAAAGATAGTTTTTCCAAAATGGCGGATACTCCACGAGCGCCATCTACAAAATATTCGTTTTTGAAAATAACCCCGTTGAGTTTGGGCTCATTTTAAAGGATTTTTCATTTCTAATCTCATCAAATTAATTAAATTTAAAATAAACCGACTTAATTATTAGCCATTTTGAAAATGTTGTAATTATTTAATATTCGTTTTTAAAAATAACCCCATCGAGTTTGGACTCATTTCAAAGGATTTTTCATTTCTAATCTCATCAAATTAATTAAATCTAAAATAACCCGCTTTAAATATTAGCCATTTTGAAAACAATTTAATAAAATATTTTTAAAATAATCAATCTTATCAAATTTGATATGAAAAATCTTTTAAAATGTGCCTAAACTTGATGGGGTTATTTTTAAAAATATTTTTTCCAAAATGGCGGGTTCTCAACGAGCGCCATCTACAAAGTATTCGTTTTTGAAAATAACCCCGTCGAGTTTGGATTCATTTTAAAGGATTTTTCATTTCTAATTTCATTAAAACAATTAAATTTAAAACAATTATTAGTCATTTTTAAAATTATTAATAATTAAGCTTTCTTTAAATAAATTGTTAAAATTAAAAATAATTATTTCTGTTATATTGGGAATGAAAAATCCTTTAAAATGAGCCCAAACACGATGGGGTTATCTTTAAAGATAATTTTTCCAAAATGGCGGATATTCAACGAGCGCCATCTACGAAATGTTAGTTTTTAAAGGTAACCTTGTCGAGTTTGGACTCATTTTGGAGGATTTTTCATTTCTAATCTCATCAAAACAATTAAATTTAAAATAATTATGAGTCATTTTTAAAATGATAAATAATTAAGTTTTTCTTCAAATTATTAAAATTAAAAGTATATATTTCTGTTAAACAGGGAATGAAAAATCCTTTCAAATGAGCCCAAACTCGATGGGGTTATCTTTAAAGATAGTTTTTCCAAAATGGCGGATACTCCACGAGCGCCATCTACAAAATATTCGTTTTTGAAAATAACCCCGTCGAGTTTGGGCTCATTTTAAAGGATTTTTCATTTCTAATCTCATCAAATTAATTAAATTTAAAATAAACCGACTTAATTATTAGCCATTTTGAAAATGTTGTAATTATTTCTTTTTAAATACTTATTTTCATTAAATTTGATATGAAAAATCTTTTAAAATGAGACTTTAAAAATAATTTTTCCAAAATGGCGGATTCTCAACGAGCGCCATCTACAAAATATTCATTTTTGAAAATAACCCCGTCGAGTTTGGACTCATTTTAAAGGATTTTTCATTTCTAATCTCATCAAAATGATTAAATTTAAAATAATCCATTTTAACGACATGATGATTCTTAAATTTTTCCAAATTTAATTTTAAAGGAACCCCACCAAACGGAATCGCTTACGGCCCATATCCCACATTAATCGAAAACGAGGAAGGACAACAAATTTTAATAGTGCAAGCTTCTGCTTACACGAAATATTTGGGGGATTTAATCGTCGATTACGACGAAAACGGAAATGTGATTAATTACGAAGGGAGCCCCATTTATTTGGATCACACCGTCCAAAAAGGTTAGAGCACGAAGTGAATTTTACTTCAATTAGTACTGATAATAATAATTTTAGATGAAATGATTGACGAATTACTCACTCCATGGAAAGAAGAAGTAGACGCATCCGGAAATCGACTTTTAGGCCACACCAACGTCCATTTAGATCAATCATCCTGTAGAACCAGCGAATGCAACTTAGGAAACTTCATAACAGACGCGATGGTTGCTTATGTAAAATAAAATTCTTCCTGAAACAATTTCAAAAAATTAATTTATTAACTTTTAGTTCGCCAATGAAGCAGAAGAGGGATCATGGACCGCAGCTCCAATCGGGATAATAAACGCGGGGGGGATACGAACTTCAATAAATAAAGGAGGTTAATTTAAAATGATGAAAAAATGAATTAAATTAAAATTAAAACACTTTTTAGATATATCATTCAACGATTTGGCAACGTCCCAACCTTTCGGAAACACCGTCGATACCGGAAAATTACAAGGAAAATATATTCGGGAATTAATGGAAAGCGCCGCAATGCCGTACAATTCAAAACGAGTCTACGCCGATGTCAATTTAATCCAAGTTTCGGGAATACGAGTCGTAATCGATGTCTCAAAACCACTCGGATCTAGAGTTACTTCATTAAAAGTTCGTTGTTCTAAATGCGATATTCCCCGATTCGAAGATATCGATAATGAAGAATTCTATAACATCGCTTTGGGCTCGTTTTTAGTGACCGGGGGAGATGGATTCAGCATGATTACCGATAATATAGTCGATCATAAAGTTGGCCCAATCGACACCGATATCCTAATTGATTATATTAAACAACAAACTCCGATTATCACCGGATTAGATGAAAGAATTACGATCGTTGGGGGATCCACTAAAGTTTTATTACATGATTAAATTTTAAATAAAATTATTAAAACCCAAATAAATTTGTATGCAACATTCTTTTCGCCATAATTACAATAATTAGTATCACAAAAACACATTTCGATAAAAGTTTCGTTTCCGTCGATTTCGATACACCCGATTCTTAATTTATTTCCAATTTCGTCGTAAAATCCTGAACATCCACGATAACTAAGCCGATTACGACCATTTTTATAACTAACGGTTCGTTTTAAACACAAATCGGTCATCTCTTTCGGACATTGCACTCGTAATTGATCCAACTCCTCGTCATTTAACGTGTCGAAAATGCCCGTTTCGCAAGTTGGAAATGTTTCGGCCCATTCTGCGACGCATTGAAAACATTTTAAGTTTTCTTTCGGCTTTTCCGGTAATAATGGGTTTTCCGATGATCCCGTTTTTGGCGGGGGCGAAGTTGATCGAATCAAATCGGAATTTAATATTAATAAAATAACTTTAATGTTATATTTAAATATTAACATGTTTTGATTTTATTATTATTTTGACGTTTATGACACAATGCTAAACATAACCTTAAAATGATTTAAAACGTTTTTTTACTTACATTTTTACCTTTTTTCTTGATATGAACACATCGTAAAGTTGAAATTAAATTGTTTGATTGAATTTGATTAATAATTAATTAAGTTTGATTAAAATATATAAAAGAATTAGTTTATAATCTCAAATTAACAAATTTATAGTTAACGTATAAATATGAGTGAAGTTTGCCGCATAAACTGACATGAACGTTGCCATTACCTTGTGAGTGCGTTCTGGTAGTTTGACATTTGATACACAGGTGTCCCATATATGTATGTATAACAAATATTCACTGTATTTTCAAAAAGTAAACGCAAATTCTTTCAAAAGACTCGATAGAAAAGACAAAGAACAAATCGAATGTTAAAAAACCTCAACGCAACGGTAAAAAAAGAATTTGTGCGTCAGAACTGATTGCGCAGAATGAATGTTTACGGGATGCAGTGATAAAAGGCTGGAGAGACAAAAATTGGAATGGGCAGAAAGATGTAACACGAAAAATGATAGTGAAAGGAGACTGGAAATGTGAAAAGGAGATTGGGCAGAAAAGTGTAATACTAGAAACAGACTGGAAATAGAAGAAAGGCATTGAATAAAATCTAAAAAGAGGATAAACAAGGAGGGCAGAAAGGTGGGCGACAAAAAACGACTGAAAAGACATTGGATAAGGGAAAAGGGGATTTGGCCGAAAGGTGTAATACTAGAAACAGACTGGAAATACAATAATGGCATTAAAGAAAACCTAAAATGAGAAAAAAGAAGCTGGGCAGAAAGATGGAAAACTGCAAAAAAGCTATAAAAACAAGAAAAAGGCTGGGAAGAGGTTGGAAAGACAAAAATTGGAATGGACAGATAAATGTAACACTAAAAAGAAGCTGAAAATATAAAAATGACATTAAAAGGACACTGGAAATGGGAAATGGAGGTTGGGCAGAAAGATGTAATACTAGAAACAGACTGGAAATAGAAGAGAGAGATTGAACAAAATCTAAAAAGAGGATAAACAAGCTTGGCAGAAAGGTGGGCGACAAAAAAAGATTGAAAAGAGGTTGGAAAAACAAGAATTGAACTGGGCAGAAAGTTGTAACACTAAAAAGAAGCTATTAATGCAAAAATGACATTGAAAAAACATTGGAAATGGAAAAAGGGAGTTGGACAAAAAGGTGTAATACTAAAAACAGACTGGAAATACAATAAAGACATTGAACAAAACCTGAAATGAGGAAAAAGAAGCTAGAAAAAAAGGTGAAAGACTGCAAAGAAGCTATAAAAATAAGAAAAATACTGAAAAGAGGTTGGAAAGACGAAAATTGGATTAGGCAGAAAGATGTAACACTAAAAAGAAGCTATTAATGCAAAAATGACAGTGAAAAGAGACTGAAAATGAAAGAAGGAGGTTGGGCGGAAAGGTGTAATACTAAAAACAGATTGGAAACAGAAGAAAGACATTGAACAAAACTTGAAAAGAAGAAAAAGAAACTGGGCAGAATGGTGGAAGATTGCAAGAACACTATAAAGGCAAGAAAAAAACTGGAAAGAGGTTGGATAGGCGAAAATTGGAATGGGCAGAAAGATGTAACACTAAAAAAAAAAGTTGGTAATGGCAAAATTATAGTGAAAAGAGACTGGAAATAGAAAAAGGAGGTTGGGCAGAAAGGTGCAAATCTAGAAAGAGCGTGGTAATAGAAGAAAGATATAGAACAAAACCTGAAATGAGGAAAAAGAAGCTGGGCAGAAAGTTGGGAGACTGCAAAAAGGCTATAAAAGATGAAAAGAGGCTGGATAGTCAAGAATTGAAAAAGACAGAAATATGTAACACTAAAAACAAGTTAGTAATGGCAAAATAATAATGACAAGAGACTAGAAATAGAAAAAGGAGGTTGGGCAGAAAGGCGTAATGCTAAAAAAAGCCTGGTAATAGAAGAAAGACATTGAAAAAACCTGAAAGGAGGAAAGAAAAGCTGAACAGAAAGGTGGGAGACTGCAAAAAGGTTAAAAAGACTGAAAAGAAGCTTAGAAAGACAAAAATTGGAATGGACAGAAAGATGTAACACTAAAAAGAAGTTGACAATGGAAATATGATAATAAAAAGAGATTAGAAACAGGAAAAGGAGCTTGAGCAGAAAGATGTATTACTAGAAACAGTCTGAAAATACAAGAGAAACGTCGAAAAAACCCTGAAATGAGGGAAAAGAAGCTGGGCAGATTGATGGGAGACTGCAAAAAAGGTATAAAGACGAGAAAAAGACTGAGAAGATGTAACACTAAAAAGAAGCAGATAATGCAAAAATGATGGGGAAAGAGATTGGAAATAGAAAAAGGAAGTTGGGCAGAAGAGTGTAATGCTAGAAAGAGCCTGGAAATACAAGAAAGAAATTGTACAAAACCTGTAATGAGAAAAAAAAGCTGGGTAGAAAGGTGGGAGACTGCAAAAAGACTATAATGACAAGAAAACAACAGAAAGGAAGCTGGAAAGACAAAAATTGAAATGGACAGAAAGATGTAACACTAAAAAGATGCTGGTAATAGGAAAAGGAGGTCAGGCAGAAAAGTGTAATACTAGAAACAAACTGATAATAGAAGAAAGACATTGAAAAGAGGAAAAACAAACTGGGAAAAAAGGTGGAAAACTGCAAAAAGACTATAAAGGCAAGAGAAAGACTATAAAAAAGCTGCAAAGACGAGAATTAGAATGGACAGAAAGATGGAACATTAAAAAATCATAAAAGAAATGACATAAACAGTTTCAGCAAGGTTTTTGAACATTTCGGCATACAATAAATAGATGTTGTTATGTGGAAAGAAAGAATCTAAATTTATTTAGGTTACACTACAGACTTCAAAAGAGTCTAGATTTCGTTTAGCCAAAGTTTAAACATTAAAAAAATGATTGGAATTGTAAATTGACATATGAAATGAAACTGGAAATGGGAAAAGGAGGTTGGGCAGAAAGATGTAATACTAAAAACAGACTGGAAATAGAAGAAAGACATTGAACAAAATCTAAAAAGAGGATAAACAAGCTGGGCAGAAAGGTGAGCGACTGGAAAAAGGCTTATAATGACAAAAAAAGACTGAAAAGAGGTTGGAAAGACAAGAATTGGAATGGACAGAAAGATGTTACACTAAAAAGAAGCTATTAATGCAAAAATGACATTGCAAAGACACTGGATATGGGTAAAGGGGGTTGGGCAGAAAGGTGTAATATTAGAAACAGACTGAAAATAGAAGAAAGACATTGAAGAAAACCTAAAATAAGGAAAAAGAAACTGGGCGGAGTCTGCAAAAAAACTATAAAAACAAGAAAACGACTGATAGAAGCTGATAATGCAAAAATGATAGTGAAATGAAACTGGAAATGGAAAAAAGGAGGTTGGGCAGAAAGATGTAATACTAGAAACAGACTGGAAATAGAAGAAAGCCATTGAATAAAATCTAAAAAGAGGATAAACAAGCTGGACAGAATGATAGGTGACTGGAAAAAAGGCTATAATAACAAAAAAAAGACTGAAAAGAGGTTGGAAAGACAAGAATTGGAATGGACAGAAAGATGTAACATTAAAAAGAAGCTATTAATGCAAAGATAACATTGAAAAGACACTGGAAATGGGAAAAGGGGGTTGGGCAGAAAGGTGTAATACTAGAAACAGACTGGAAATAGAAAAAAGACATTGAACAAAACGTGAAATGAGGAAAAAGAAGCTAGGAAGAAACGTGGGAGACTGCAAACAAGCTATACAAACAAAAAAAAGACTAAAAAGAGGTTGGAAAGACGAAAATTGGAATGGGCAGAAAGATCTAACACTAAAAAGAAGCTATTAATGCAAAAATGACAGCGAAAAGAGACTGGAAATGGGAAAACGAGGTTGGGCAGAAAAGTGTAATACTAGAAATAGACTGGCAATACAAGAAAGGCATTGAAGAAAACCTGAATTGAAGGAAAAGATGCTGGGCAGAAAGATGGTAGACTGCAAAAGGACTATAAAGGAAAGAAAAATACTGAAAAGAGGCTGAAAAAACAAAAATTGGAATAGGCAGAAAGATAAAACGCTAGAAAGAAGCTATTAATGCAAAAATGACAGTGAAAAGAGACTGGAAATGGGAAAACAAAGTTGGATAGAAAGGTATAATACTAAAAACAAACTGGAAATACAAGAAAGAAATTGTACAAAACCTGAAATGACAAAAAAGAAGCTAGGTAGAAAGGTGGAAGGCGGCAAAAAGACTATAAAGGCAAGAAAAAAAACTGAAAAGAGACTGGAAAGACAAAAATTGCAATAGACCGAAAGATGTAACACTAAAAAGAAGTTGACAATGGAAATATGATAGTGAAAAGACGAAGATGAAAGAGACTGGAAAAGAGAAGATATGATAGTGAATAGAAGAAAATATACAAGATATACAAGAAAAACATTGAAAAAAACCTGAAATGAGAGAAAAGAAGCTGGGCAGATTGGTGGGAGACTACAAAAAGGCTATAAAGACGAGAAAAAGACTGAGAAGAGGTTGGAAAGACAAAAATTGGAATGGGCAGAAAGATATAACACTAAAAAGAAGCAGGTAATGGAAAAATAATAGGAAAAAGAGACTGGAAATAGAAAAAGGTGGTTGGACAGAGAGGTGTAATGTTAGAAAGAGCCTGGCAATAGAAGAAAAAGGCATTGAAGAAAACCTGATATGAGGAAAAAGAAGATGGACAGAAAACTGAAAGACTGCAAAAAGGCTATAAAGACTGAAAAGAGGCTGGAGAGGCAAGAATTGGAATGTACAGAAAGATGTAACATTAAAAAGAAGCTGATAATGGAAATATGATAGTGAAAACAGACTAGAAATGGAAAAAGGAGGTTGGGCAGAAAGGTGTATTACTAGAAACAGAGTGGAAATACAAGAAAACCATTGAAAAAAATCTGAAATGACGGAAAAGAAGTTGGGCAGATTACAAAAAGGTTATAAAGATGAGAAAAAGACTGAAAAGAGGCTGGAAAGACAAAAATTGGAATGGGCAGAAAGATGTAACACTAAAAAGAAGCTATTAATGCAAAAATGACATTAAAAAAACACTAGAAATGCGAAAAAGAGGTTGGGCAAAAAGGTGTAATGCTTGAAAGAGTCTGGTAATAAAAGAAAGATATTGAACAAAGCTTGAAATGAGAAAAAAGAAGGTGGCCAGAACCACACTCTAAATAAAAAGTTGCAAAAATTAACATTATTATAAAAACACAAATAATTATAACAAACCTAAGTNGTGTAATGCTTAAAAGAGTCTGGTAATAAAAAAAAGATATTGAACAAAGCTTGAAATGAGAAAAAAGAAGGTGGCCAGAACCACACTCTAAATAAAAAGTTGCAAAAATTAACATTATTATAAAAACACAAATAATTATAACAAACCTAAGTGCAAGGACCAACAGCTTACAAAAAATATGCTGGGTATTCCCAAGAGGTCACTCGAGTCTGGTCTCACAAACCAATCTGGAAAACCACATCAAAACCAGAGATATACAAAAATATTATGATTCACTATAAAGACAAAAAAAAAAAGACGGAAAAAGAAATTGGACGAATGGTGGAAGATTGCAAAAGAACTATAGAGGCAAGGAAACAAATTGAAAAGAGGCTGGAAAGACAAAAATTGGAATGGGCAGAAAGATATAACACTAAAAATAAGCTGGTAATGGCAAAATGATAGTGAAAAGAGACAGAAAATAGGAAAAGGAAGTTGGGCAGAAAGGTGTAATGCTAGAAAGAGCCTGGTAATGGAAGGAAGACATTGAACAAAACCTGATATGAGGAAAAAGAAGCTGGACAGAAAGGCTATAAAGACTGAAAAGAGGCTGGGGAGCAAGAATTGGAATGTACAGAAAGATGTAACACTAAAAAGAAGCTGACAATGCAAAAATGACATTAAAAAAACACTAGAAATGGGAAAAGGAGGTTGGGTAAAAAGGTGTAATGCTTGAAAGAGTTTGGTAATAGAAGAAAGACATTGAACAAAACCTGAAATGAGGAAAACGAAGCTAGGTGGAATGGTGGAAGATTACAAAAAGACTATAAAGGCAATAAAAAATCTGGAAAGACAAAAATTGGAATGTACAGAAAGATGTAACGCTAAAAACAAACTGGTCATGGCAAAATGATTGTGAAAAAAGACTGGAAATAAGAAAAGGAGGTTGGGCAAAAAGGTGAAATGCTTGAATGAGCCTGATAATAAAAGATAGACATTGAAAAAAGCATGAAATGAGAAAAAAGAAGCTGGGCAGAAAGTTGGGAGACTGCAAAAAGGATATAAAGACTGAAAAAATATTGCAATGACATAAGAAAGTAAATGACATAAACCGTAATTTCTATTTTAACAGCTTCAGCAAGGTTTTTGAACATTAAAAAAATGTTTGTAATTGTAAATTGACACATGCCATATTGTTAAATTAAGTCTGGAACTACAACAACCAGGCACCATAAAGCAAAAGTGTTTTGCCTTGATTTAGCCAAAGTCCAAACTTTAAGAAAACGTTTGGAACTGTAAATTAACACTTCAGATATTGTTAATTTAAGTCTAGAACTACAATATCCAGACACCATAAAGCAAAAATGTTTAGACTTAATTTAAACAGTGTCCAAACATTAAAAAAATTTCTGGAACGACACCAAAATAAAAAAAAATTAATACAATATTTACCAACAGCAAAACGAAAGTGTTTATCGCTCCAAGAACTAAATGTCTTGACCCTCGATCATTTTTACACACAATTAGATTAGATAAGCGACAAATCCATCGTTATAACTACGATTTAAGCCACTTCGTAAACATAGTAAGTTCAACTTGACGAAAAATGAATATATTTCGATTTTTAATTTGGTTTTCTTCGTTTATTTTCATCAACACAGTAAGTAATCTTTTAGATTATATTTATTTATTTATTAATCATTTCCGTTTAAGATTTACATCCCTAACAGCGAAAAATTAAACACTTTCGGAATCAAATCTTTGGATTGGCAAGAAAATTCATACATTCAAATGCACCACAATTACAGCAAAGTTAATCAATTTAATTCAAATCAACAAAAAAATGTGGATTTAAAAATTAATAACAAATTAGAAGATTTCTTTCAAGATAATCAAGTTTATAAATCGTGCCCAAAAGACGCAACTGGATCGTTTATTTACGAAGATTCTTGCTCGCAATTTTTGAATTGTTGGAAAGGGCGAGGATTCGTTCAAAATTGCGCCCCTGGAACTTTATTTAACCCAAAAACTTTAGAATGCGATTATCAGGAGAAAGTTGAGTGCGTTTTAAATAATCGATTTTCCCGCCAAATTCTCATCGACACTTTGCATCAAAACCAAATTAAACAACCAAGATGTCCCCAAGGCTTTTCCGGGTTAATACCCCACTACGAAATTTGCTCCAAATACATCCAATGCAATCGAGGAAACGAAATCGTCATGGAGTGCCCGGCAGGAACCAATTTTGACTCAAAATCGAACCGATGCGATTTTCCCTATAAATCGGAGTGCTTTAATGAGGGGGCGAATCAAAAGAAGAAGAAAAAAGTGGTTGTTAGGAAGTATTTTGATGATGGGGGGTTTGAATTTGATGGGGTTAGGAATGATTTGGGGATTTCTGGGGTTGATTCGAGGGGGAAGAAGTATTTTGTTGGTGGGGTTAAAATTAATGATCATTTGGGGGAATTTCAAAATCAAAATTTGCATTACAACTTTAATCAGAACCAAAATCTGCATCACAACCTTAATCAGAACCAAAATGTGCATCAGAACTTAGATCAGAATCAAAATCTGCATCATAACCTTAATCATAAGATTAATCAGAACACAAATCAGAATCACAACTTTAATCAGAACCTAAATCAGCGTCACAACCTTAATCAGGACCAAAATTTGCTTAATCAGAACCAAAATATGCGTCAGAATTTAGATCAAAATCAGTATCAGCACCTAAATCTGCATCACAACCTTAATCAGGACCAAAATTTGCTTAACCAGAACCAAAATATGCATCAGAATTTAGATCAAAATCAGTATCAGAGCCAAAATCTGCATCACAACCTTAATCAGAACCAAAATGTGCATCAGAAGTTAGATCAGAATCAATATCAGAACCAAAATCTGCATCACAACCTTAATCAGAATCAAAATGTGCATCACAACGTTAATCAGAATCAAAATCAGCATCAAAAACTTAATCAGAATCAAAATCTGTATCAAAACTTAGGTCAGAATGAGTATCAGAACCAAAATCTGCATCACAACTTTAATCAGAACCTAAATCAGAATCAAAATTATCATCATCAGAATCAAAATGTTAATCAAAATCAATATCAGAATGTAAATCGTGTTGTAAAATGTCCTGATGGTCAATCTGGTTTATTTCCACATCCATATGATTGTCAAAAATTTTTGAATTGTGATCATGGAAGAACTTTTATTCAAGAATGCGGTCCAGGTACTGTTTTTAATCCAAAAATTAAAGTTTGTGATTGGCCCTATAACGTTCAATGCAATCAGAATCAAAGAAATGATGATCAAAGAACTGGAAAATTGATTGGAAATGATCAAAGTCAGTTGGAGATTCAAACTGTTTATGGAATCGATTCTGACACTTTCTGTTTGGCAAGAAACGGATTTTTTGAGAACTTTAGGAACTGCTCTGTATTTTTTAATTGCAAAAATGGAAAGTTTTCCATTGGAATTTGCCATAAAGGAGCTCAATTTAATCCGAATACGAATGATTGCGACGATTTTTATCGCTGTGCGGGTCAAGGTAATCGAGGAAATTTTAATTATTTGGATTTGAATCAAAAATTAAGTCAAAATTGGAATCAAAATGAAAATTTGAGTCAAAATTTGAATCAGAATCAAAATTTGGATCAAAGGTTAAGTCAAAATTGGAATCAAAATGAAAATTTGGGTCAAAATTTGAATCAGAATCGAAATTTTGACCAAAAATTAAGTCAAAATTGGAATCAAAATGAAAATTTGAATCAGAATTTGAATCAGAATCGAAATTTGGATCAAAAATTAAGTCAAAATTGGAATCAAAATGAAAATTGGAATCAGAATCAAAATTTAGATCAAAAATTAAGTCAAAATTGGAATCAAAACATTGATCAAAACCAAATAAACTACGAAGACGAATCAACCTCATCAAAATCAATTTTAACAACCGACACAAACGCAGATTACATCTTTGAAATTGATGATTTAGTTGAAGTTCCTCCATCCGACCACATAATCATCAAAAAAATCAAAGATTGCTCACTAGACGACTCAAATTGCTCCAAGAACTTACTAAACGAATTCAAAAAAATCGAAAAATCCAAAATGGCAATCAAAGAAATCTCAAAATACTCAAACACATCGATTAATTTCTGCGCTAAAAAATGCCTCGAAGAAAACCACCAAAACAATCCGAACAAAAAATCAAACTCAAAGTGTAAATCGTTTAATTACCGCAAAAACGACGGGATGTGTTTCATTTTGGACACGAATTTAGGCGAAACGGGAAGTTTATTTATCCTCCCCAATTACGATTATTACGAGTATAAAAACTTTTCGATGGATTGTGCCGAAAAATTTATCTGTAGTAATCGCAAATGTATCGAAAAACATAAAATGTGCGATGGAAAATTCGATTGTGTTGATAAAGAGGATGAAAAGAATTGTGATCGGGAAAAAATCGGGTATTCGATTCAACTAATCGCGTCGAATAAGACCAACGAAGGTGCGGTTCATGTTAAAGCTTTTAATAAAGTCGGGTTTGTTTGTGACGATCAATTCGGGTTAAAAGACGCGGACGTCGTTTGTAGGGAAATCGGGTTCGAAGGTGCTTTAGAAATAAAAAGTAACGGATTTTATGCAATTCCCGACGAATACAAAGACGATGGGTATTTAATGGATGACGTGCAATGTTCGGGGAATGAAACTAGTCTTAAAGATTGCGATTTTAACGGCTGGGGGAACCATAATTGTCGCGCGAAAGAAATCGTGGGGGTTGTTTGCAAATCTAGCGAAGAATTCGATTGCCCCCTTGATAAGTGGAAGTGCGAAACATCCAAGGAGTGCATCCCCTTGGATTTTTTATGCGATAATGTCGATGATTGCAGTGATAACTCAGATGAGGCGGCTCAATATTGCGAGGTAAGAATAATAATTAATAAATTTAAAAAAACTTACCCATTGAGGGTTTACTTGAATTCACAAATACAGCTCCTGTTAATTAAAAAAAGATTTGATTAGAAAAAATGATAAATATCCAAATCTCACCTTACTTTAACCACAAAATCAATTAACACCAAACAATAACACAAGAATGTTTCTTAAATTAAAAGAAATTCATTTCAAACAAACTTTTGAGGTTAAAACGAAACCGCAACGTTATTATTGTTGGAGTCTCGTCGGTTGCCATGGAGATTTTGAGTGGTCGGTAAGGAAGAAAAATTAAAAAAAAAGACAATGGCGCCATCTATTGAGATTTCTAAGAAATCTTTAAAAATTGTAATAATTAATTTAAAAAAACTTACCGAAATTTTAATCCAGCGCGGGTTTCTTGAACTCGAAACGATCTTTAATGCGTCGTAATAATTACAGATTCACAAATACAGCTCCTGTTAATTAAAAAAAGATTTTATTAGAAAAAATGATAAATACCCAAATGTCACTTTAATTTAACCACAAAATCTCATCAAAATCAATTAACACAAAAGAATAACACAAGAATTTTTCTTAAAAGTAATAATTAAAAGAATCTTTAAGCATCTTTGCTTAATTTTTATCAATCTTTTGAGGTTAAAACGAAACCGCAACGTTATTATTGTTGGAGTCTCGTCGGTTGCCATGGAGATTTTGAGTGGTCGGTAAGGAAGAAAAATTAAAAAAAAAAGACAATGGCGCCATCTATTGAGATTTCTAAGAAATCTTTAAAAATTGTAATAATTAATTTAAAAAAACTTACCGAAATTTTAATCCAGCGCGGGTTTCTTGAACTCGAAACGATCTTTAATGCGTCGTAATAATTACAGATTTACAAATACAGCTCCTGTTAATTAAAAAAAGATTTTATTAGAAAAAATGATAAATACCCAAATGTCACTTTAATTTAACCACAAAATCTCATCAAAATCAATCAAGTAATAATTAAAAGAATCTTTAAGCATCTTTGCTTAATTTTTATCAATCTTTTGAGGTTAAAACGAAATCGCAACGTTATTATCATACTATTATATAATAACTAACTTCAGATTTAAAATGTCAACCTCAACTCTTGACATATTTGTAATCTTCATTAAAAATCCTTTAAAATGAGTACAAACACAACATATTTATCTTTAATATTAATAAAGTTATGATCAAGTTCCGGTTAGAAATGTCAACGTCAATTTTGACATATTTGTAATTGTCGTGAAAAATCCTTTAAAATGAGCCCGAACATGATACGTTTAATTCCAATATTACTCGAGATATAAGCAACTTCCGGTTTGAAATGTCAATGTCATTTTGACAAATTCTTAATTTTTATAAAATTTATCACTAAAACAAAAATACAATAAAAGAAATTAAAAATTTAGGTTGGTATTAATATTTAAGAATTAAATTGCTATCTCCATTGTTGCTAACTTCGGGTTTAACGTTTTTTTATTCAAACTCTTTTGTTTTTTGAGATAAGTGCGTCATGTTTGGACTTATTTAAAAGGTTTTTTAATAAAGAATACATCATGAAAGAACACCATGAAGTTGTCCATTTGTTTATTATATGATAACTGACTTCAGCTATAAATATCAACCTCAATTTTGACGTATTTGTAATCTTCATTAAAAATCCTTTAAAATGAGTACAAACACGACATATTTATGTTCAATATTAATAAAGTTATGATCAACTTCCGGTTAGAAATGTCAACGTTAATTTTGACATATTTGTAATCGTCGTGAAAAATCCTTTAAAATGAGCCCAAACATGATACGTTTAATTCCAATATTAGTCGAGATATAAGCAACTTCCGGTTTGAAATGTCAATGTCATTTTGACAAATTCTTAATTTTTATAAAATTTATCACTAAAACAAAAATACAACAAAAAAAATTAAAAATTTAGGTTGGTATTAATATTTAATAATTAAATTGCTATCTTCATTGTTGCTAACTTCGGGTTTAACGTTTTTTTATTCAAACTTTTTTGTTTTTTGAGATAAGTGCGTCATGTTTGGACTCATTTTAAAGGTTTTTTAATGAAGATGACAAATATGTCAAAATTGACGTTGACGTTTCAAACCGGAAGTGATTGTATTTCCATTAATATTAAAGTTAAATAT